AGATAATGTTTTCTGTTTTTAAAATGCCATTTCATCAGATCTTTGACTTATTGAGCTTCCTACGCAATGTGTACTTGGAATGTTTAACTGCTATATGTGCAAACTCCTGTACTGCATGTTTCCAGCAGCTTGTGTGAGTATAGTAGAATAAAAGTTCAAAGTAATGTCAACATATGAAATGTTAAGAAATGAAAGCAAGATGAGATTTCTTAAAAATTCACAGCAACCAAGTCTTGTTCAGCTCTGCTTAATGCAGTAATTCCGTAGTTTTCACAAGTTGTTTTTGTTTATTCTTTCAGGCTAAAGCTTTTGGAACAGATGTTGGAAGATGTTAGCTGTGGATACAGGGATTGTGGAGGAGTGGTTATCAGAGTTCAAGGTAATATAGTATTAGATATTCAGTAACAGTGTTCGAATTTCTGCTGGAGCAATATGCAAGAGCACTTGAATGCCATAGAAAACGAAGACATGCTAGCCTGGGGTTTTGCTGAGACAACATTAAGTATACAAATGTGTACTTGAAAGGATTCTTTTTTTCCATGTCTTCTTGGATGTTGCATACAAATACAGAAGAGTGAAAATGTATATTGGGGCTGAATCTTCAATGGACTATATTAAAATAATTTCTGTTTCAGATTTTTCTTTTTTCTTTTTACTTTTTTACTTTTTTACTTTATTTCAACTTTTTGCTGTGAATGGAGATCTATAGGCTATCAAGTTGTACCCAAAATACTAGTCAGTCAAATAACTGCATCCCATTTATCTTTTAAAGAATATAGACAAATTATTCATAGTCGTTCTTTCTAGACTGTCGCTTTTAACCTTTATCATTCAAAATTTAACTCTTAATAGTTACAGTTCACCTTAGTTGATGAGCTACTGTGACTTCTATTATATCCTATTCTGACTTTGATCGCTCTAGTTTTTGCATTCAAAACGCCATTTGCAGAATGATGCCAATTTAATTCCTTTGCAGTTTGCATTTGCCAGCTGTTGCACTTTTGTGTTAGACCAGGTCTGACTCTAAGGTGGGTAAAAGCAATATGAGAGAAACAGAATACAAATACTGTTTGTCTTCTCTGCCTTTACTACAGGAAAAAGCATCTGGATACATCAAAAAGTAACTAGATATTTTTCAGTACTGATTATTTTCCAAGTTCTTTCTTAGCAGTAGTAGAGACAACTCTGAAGGAACTGTCATTTTATCATGCCCTGATGAGTAACTTGGTCAGGCTGCTGTCTGGCAACTAGAACGACAGATGGATAAGCTAGCTGCAAGGAAACCACAGTTTCTGTAGTCTTGTTTCAGAGCAGCCTTGCCAGAACAATATCGTATGTAAATGCTGCTATTTAGCTTGAAAAATGGCACAAATGGTAAATGTCATTATTCTGATGTGGAATACTTCAGTATTTTCTATTTAAAAGTCCCAACATATTATCTGTATAATGGAGTGTTATCTCCTTTGAAGGCTTACAGATAAAAAATATTATAAGAGCTAGGAATTATAAGTTTAAATGTAAAGCTTCTTTAACCTTTTAAGCACTGGCAGGAAAAACTGTTTGTCAGCCTGAATTTGTGGCCAGAGTGTCTTGTAATAATGCTCACTGGCTGTGCACAGTCAGCATGTCTTGTGAAGTGCTTACTGGCTCTGTAGTCAGACTTGAGAAAACTTTGTAGCAGTTTGCACTCAGTACTTGGGTTTTATGTGGGGTGCCTCTGTGCCCCCTGAAATTCGTAAAAATGGAGTAGGAAGGTTTTCTTTCTGTTGTTGTCGATGTACTTTTATGTACGTTCATGTTTATGTATGTTCACGTCTGAAATTGTAGCTGTTCATCTGTTTCCCATTCCATTTAATTATGTTCTGTGAAGAGCTGTCTGCAGAATGATGATAAAATGTAATGTGTCTTCTAGCAATTTGGTTGTCTTGAAAACATGCTGTTTTCTATATTGAGTATTCCTCTTTGTGAAATGTGTTTTATTTTATAATAAACTCTGATAATAGAAACCTGTTATGGAAAATTGCTGTTGTAATAGCTGTCATTTTAATGCTAAAATTGCTTTTGCTAATAGTTACAAAAATATTTTTATTTCAGACGCTGCCAGAAGCATCCATATCCAGTTATGCTACAAACTTGAAAGACAAGAGTGCTCTGGTTTCATCTCTTTACAAAGTAATTCAGGAGCCACAAAGTGAAGTGAGTATATCAGAAATGTCTAATACAAGACATGTCTCATGTAAGAGCAGCAAAATAAAAAAGACTTTGTATGTTAGTTAATCATGTTGCAACTAGTTGTTTCAGAACTCTGGAACTACTACTACTCCAAAATGCTTTTTCTTCTGTTTTTTGGGGGGATGTCATTTTGTCAATGACAGTATGATGGAAACTATGTTTCTCATAGGTAGGCTTGTAGGTTATGCTCAAAGTTCTCGAGACTTGAGTATGGACTTGAGGAGTATGTTAAAGACTTGAAAATGTTTGAGATTAAGTTCTTTCTATAGCTCAGTACCTCCTGAATGGGAATCTATAACCGAAGTTTGGCTATTACAACCCAAGAGGACAATGTTAGGTAGGCTTGCAGTCCTTTCAAGTTATTGTGTGGGTGTTAGGGCTTTTTGTTGTTCTAAACACTAGTAAATTTATGCATCTGTACATCAGATGTATATTGCTGAAGTGATGGGAAAAGAAAACCCCTTTCACTTCCTTAGAAATGCCTTGCGGGTGGCTTTGTGCTGCACACGTGTAAGGGGCAGTTCGTACTCCATGACTGCACTTCTAATGTGTCTGGGAGAACAGAACAGACTGAGCAGGTTTGGTTGGATCTATTCGCTGTATTGTCTTCCTGCCATCTAACAAACCTTGGTGTATGAACTTGCTCAAAAAAGTGTTGTTTGAAAATTGTCTTTAAGCCCTTCATTCCTCTTCTGAAAAAACAAAGCATAAGAAATCTTGCTAAAGTCTATAAAGATGTTAAATAGTGAGCAGAGGATAAAATGCTTCCTGTACAGGTACATTTTTAACATTCTTTTTAATGTTGGACAAGTTTTTAAGAAGGTTTGTCGCTTTAGGAAGTGGAGATTATTTTTTGTTGTTGTTTTGTTTCTAAGTACTGTTGTGCTTTTTATATAATACCTTTTCTATTTCCTAATGCAAATGCCTGAATGAATGTTTAGGTTGTCTAATATACTTGAATGCAAAGATGAAAATGCTAGGATACTCTTCTGTTCTAGCATTAAAACTTGTCTCAGTCTGGTTTTACAATAGACCTAGTGTAAAACTATGTTTTGAAATGGCAACAACTTATCAGTGTGTTTTGATATTAAGTTTTATCATGTTGTGATGGTGTTTTGAGGAAGAAAAGCAGTTTCTGTGCTGATTTATATATTTAAAATTGCTGATTTAAAGCTGTCTCAACTGAGATAACAATGTGAACATGGACACCTGCCATAGCTTTTTCTGTTCTTTTGAAGTTAAACCACATCACCCTGAACTCAAACTTCATTAAAGTGAAATACGCAAATATTCAGAAAAATAAAAGCTGGAGAAAAGCATTAGCAAGGTAAATGTGAAGTTTTCCAAGAGAATCACTGTTATTGTGCTTTAAACTGACAAGTCATTTAGCTTGGCTTGTTGTGTTCTTTTTTCTTCTTACATTTTCATAAATGATTTTCCAAAGAAAAATTAAATTTGAAAAATGAAAAAAATACATTTGAATTCTCTCTGAGATTTGTAGCTTGGAAATTTAAAAAGCCTAGAATCTGGAATTGCATTTTTTTTTGTGAATTTTGCTGATGAAAATACTTCAAGACTCTTGATTCTTTTTCAAAAGTTTTAAATAGGGTCCTCATTTATTATTATTTGCAGATACATAATTTGGAGTATCTTTTTAGATATCTTGAGATTTTTCCAGTGTCTGTCTCAAAGAACTAGATGAAAGTTTTTTGAAAGATTTATATAAAGATATGAGCGTTGACTATATAGTTCAAACAGTTTTAAGAATTAACTAGTTCTAATACCTTGAAAATAGGTGTTTCACCTATCAAGTGAAAACAGTGTAAGCGTAGCACTTTTTGTGTAGACTATTTGAGCTCAGGAGTAATGAGCGCTTCTCTTCAGGTGTTTTCCTGCATCTAACATCTTGAGGGCATGGTATGAGCTGCCGTGGTAACCAGTATCCTCTGTTTATCCCTCTGAGGCTGGAGGAAGTGGGCCAGAAACGAGGGGAAGGAGCTGTTGTTTCCTTCCCTCCGACGGAAGGCAGACTCCACTTTCACCATCTGTAGGTTACAAGGGGTGGAACGTGTGTAACGTGGCTTGCCCAGTTACTGCATCAGTCACTTCCAAGTAGCCAAGATGTAATGTTTATAGCCTTGTGATTTTGTCCAAAGGATTCATCAATTTTGCTTCTACACTAGATGTAGTTTCTTGTGATGTTATATGTCTTAATGATCGTAATTTATGTTTCAGCTTCTGGAGCCAGTTTGCCATCAGCTCTTTGAGTTCTATCGCAGTGGTGAGGAGCAACTGCTACGCTTTACACTGCAGTTCCTACCAGAATTGATGTGGTGCTATCTGGCTGTCTCAGCCAGCAGAGATTTGCAGAGCAGTGGTTGCATAGAAGCTCTCCTTCTGGGAGTTTACAACTTGGTTTGTATTTCCAAGTAATTATTCATGCCTAAAAATACTAGTGTGCTTTTGGGGAATGTTGTATTGAATATTTTGCTGGGGGAAAAAGTGAGAGGTATTTTTTTCCCTTTTCTTTTCTTTCTCCTTTCTTTTTTTTTCCCCTGAACTATCCTATGCAAAGTTTGGTTCTTGAAGGTGATGCTCTAGTCTGCAATCTGCAACATGAACTTTAGATTCTTGTGTTTTGTGACTCTTTCTTTGCAAATGCATTAATAGCTGAAGGGGGCGGAGGAGACTTTTCTATAGAATGTTCTTCCCAGACATTGTGGTTAAGCATAGCTGCTTGTCAAGACTTGGAGGAACTGCTTTTGACATAGTTGCTCATACTTTTTTGGGGTATCTACTGTACTAGAGGAATTGCAAAATGCTGCTTTCAGCAAACTTTGTCCTTGATTTTGAACAGATAGTTCAGATTTGAGATCTTAAATGTGTCTCACTGTTAATAACCTCAACATGAGATCTTTTCATATCTGTATGAAAAGATACTGACTTGTATTGACTTTTAAGAGCACCATATTTTAGTTATTACAGACCAAATGCAGTTATTCTTTCTATGGCTATTATGAAAAGTTTAGTGTTTTGTCTTTTGGGATTCTTGGAGCTGTTTGCATGTCCTCGATGTGTTAGAAAGCCTTTTGGGGAAGTGAAACGGTGATGAAATTTGTCCTCTTCCCATTCTGAAACTTGGAAGATCACTCTTCTCACAACAATCTCAAATGTCTTTGCACTAAGCTAACAAAAAACACTTGCATCCAGGAGCCTACTTAAAAAAATCGGAACCTTATACTCAATTCTGCATTTGGCAGAATACAGGCTATACATGCTATCTGTGTTCTTAATTGCAGCTGAGAAGAAAATCATTCCTGGAAAGCATATGCTGCATCTTATGCCTAGAGCTCCTTTATTTCCATGAGAAAGGCATTTAAAATGGTTAAAACGGATGTGTCTGTAATCTCCTATAGGATAAAGGCATTTACAGTTCAGCTTGAAACCAGTCCAGTAACATCTTCTCTTAGCTCTGAGCAGTTTCTTCATCAGTTATTGCCATCCTATCCATCTGCCATTGCTTGTGGTCAGAGGAATTTTACAGCAGCTTCTGTGGGAAGCTGTAAACTACAGGATTTCTGGAAATGATTGTTTCTCCCTACTCTGCTTTAAAATGTAGTGAAAGCTTATGCTAAAGTAATGCCAGGTTACTGATGCTGATTTCTTTGCTCGTATTAATAGAATACTTGCAACTTAATATGGTACTGGTCAGATGGTACATATGGCTGGTACAGTTCTTCGTTATGCCATTTTCAAAAGGTAATAGGAGATCTGTTTTACATACTTATTTAATTAGATATAAAAATGCTTATGTAAATAAGTGCAGAAATCTCTTGGAATCTGAGGGAAATTACCATTCTGAACCTAGTTCTGCAATCCCTTTCTGAAGCTAATTGAAAAGTGTAATTTTGTTCAGCATAATTGTAAATTCAGTACTTTGTTAGGGATATGGAATTATTGTTGCAGAAGTTAAGATCAGAAATTTGGTTTGTTCTAATCTCAGCTTGGAGATGTGACTGAAGAACAGGCTTAAGAAAGGCAGGTAGTGCATGCAGCTGATTTTTTTGCCTTTCTTGGCTGCAGCTATCAGTTTTTCTATTGTATTCAGGTCTTGAAATTTACTCCTGAAACTAATTATAAATCAGATTAAAATGAAATGTCAAAATATTGACATTTTATATTTTTAGAGTTAGTCATGTCCTTTCCCCTTCCAAATATGCAGGAATCTGTTTGCACACTAATGCAAACTTAAAGACTAAGTGGGCTATGTGGAGAGTGGAGCTGTGTGACTCTGTTCAGACTGAACAGCGCTCTCTGCCTTTTTGATCTTCTCTGTCTTCCTTTAACACTTCATTCCTTTTTAAGACATGGGTTTGGATAAGTAGTATGTGAAGTCAGTCCTTCAACCAGGTGACTTTTGAGAAGGGGTTGCTAAGAGGCACTTTATTGAAGTTCCTCTCTAATCTGCACCTTTGGATGCATGAAATCTGTTGCTGAAAAAAAACATTGGATGATAAGAGGAACACAGAACTGCACTGCAGACCTCTGGAAGCCCTCTGATTAATAAGTCTGTTCTAGAAGATAGAGGGGGAGTCAGAAAGGAAGTATACTATCTAAATACACAGTGTGTAGGATTTATTTTTGAATATTGGGATCTTTATATGAGATTAGTTGACATTTTTGAGATCCTGAGCATGTGCTAGATGGGGAAGTTAGGTTAACTGCAGGCCAAACCTTCAAGGTGCAGCTAATAATTTTCCCAGAAATTGGAATATTTCTTGTGTACCATCACCTTCTTGACTGTAGTTGCTAAGAATACTCTTTGCAATAGCTGTGGTAATTGCTGTTTCTCTCTTGTAAATCCTAATAGTGCTGCAAAGTGTTTTTGTATGTGTAGTTTTGGTCTGGAAGCCCAGAGCTTCTTGTTTCTAAACCTTTTGCTCTGAAGTACTTCAGTGCTCTTCTGTAATACCCTGGTGCATCTTTTTGGCCTTATCCTTTAGCCTTCCACTAACTTTAAGGAGCGCTAAGTTTGCCAATCTACTACTCTGGCAGTATCTTTCAGGAAAGGGGCTTCTCTAATTCTCTAATGGAATTGTATCCATTCTTCTTCTTTTTTTTTTTTTCTCCTAGGTTAATACTTTCTTCTCTAAGTCTATAATTATCAAATGTGGGCTTTGCAAATATTATGATGTCTGCTATTGTCACACTGTATGCAGCTGCACTTGTCTTGGAGCTAAAATGTTTCCAAAACAAATGGCTTATAGAGCCATTATTCTGTGGGTGAATAGTTTTCAGAACAGAGTTATTGAGCATTAACCTTCACAAATAGCAAATAGTGCATAATTAAAAATATGGTAACGCTGTTTAAATATATTGAGATTTCCAGTTAGTCTCTTGTAAGGTAGCCAATAGCTATGCAAATGCATGTGCCCTTTGTGAAGTCATTTGAATGTTAAAAGCAAATGTATTGGAGCTATTTTTCAGAAACAAAACTAAACCATTGTGTGGAGAAGCAAATAAAGAGATAATTTCTAGTTTGTAGCTCAGATTTTCATAGTATCCCTGTCTGTCCTATAGTAACTGGTTTGTTTTCTTTATGCATTTACTCCCTTACAGCATTTAACACTTCTTCTGAACGCCTGACTTCTGTAGCACAGTGTAACCCTTGATGCTTCTTGTCTTTTGCAGGAGATAGTTGACAAGCAGGGTCATAGCAAAGTGCTGAGTTTCACAATTCCATCTCTGTCCAAACCTTCAGTCTATCATGAAGTAAGTGATTTTTAAAACCGACCGATTGTTGCTACTGGTTGTGAAGCACAGTGTGCTTTTTGGGGCCTGTTCATTAGGAATAAAAATGTGAATTAGTTTGACATTGTGCATGATGGCATAGTAAGGTAGTTGATTACTGCTGACTGGTATCTCTGAGGCCTTTTAAAGTCTGAATAGCAATAACTGCATAATATCCATGCACGTTTTTTCCCAAGCCTTATATTCTGTTTGGTGTAAAACCATCTCTCAAAACCAAGACAATAAGTAGTTAAATAACCTAAAGAACTTTGAAAATGTATATGCAAATGCTGTGATGATCAGCTGTCTGGTTTTAAATTGTACTGTAGCAAGGCTTCAGGTTCTGAATAACCTATTTTTCTTCAGCCTTCTAGCATTGGCTCCATGGCTCTCACTGAAGGAGCTTTATCCCAGCATGGTTTGTCCAGGGTTGTATACAGTGGACCTCATCCTCAGAGGGAGATGTTAACAGCACAGAACAGGTGAATCTGTATAGTAAGACTTTGCTTGAGAATCAATAATGAATTTTAACATCTTATGTAGTTGCCAACTTAAGGTAAATGGGTTTTTGTTGGTTTTGGTTTTTGCATCTAAATATGAATGCCTAAAGAATAGGAGCATGCGTTACTACGTAAAGGGAAGAAAAAATTATGGACCCAAACCACTCAATTATCAACAGCTATTGGAAAAAAAGAACCAAGTCTGTTCAAATAAAACTCTTAAAAATATCTGTGTAAACATGTTTGGTTTCTTTTTAAGACGTAAGACTGGCAATCTAATCTCTAATGTTCCTTGTGAACTCCAGGTTTGAAGTGCTGACATTCCTTCTGCTCTGCTACAATGCTGCCTTAAGCTACATGCCTGCAGTCTCTCTCCAGTCATTGTGTCAAATCTGTTCAAGGTAACTGCTGTAGGTTGGTTATACTTAAAATGGCATTGTCAACCTGAAACGTATTCAGGGTGAATCTGTTGTTTTAGGAAGTTCAGGTTCCGGAAAGTTGCTTGTAAGCTGACCTTTATTTCCATAAATGTTTATAGTTGCGTTATTTCTGTTTAAAGTGTTTCTTATGTGACTTCAGGTGGAGACCTCACCATAGAGGAAGCCATAATGTGACTTATGCACTGCCGTTGAATGGAAAAATAATTCAAGTGAATAGCCTGGTTTTAATTATAGTCGCTGTAGATACTTTCCTGAAATAAAAACAGAAATATTTTCTAAAGTCTTAGTAAATCTTATATTGCATGTTTATTAGAAATACTTGGATGCTATGCAAGTTGAAACTTATTTGAAAATACAGTGGAGCTTGACACTGAAAATAAGTTCATTTTTGTGTGTATTCTGGGTGTTTTGAAAATCCCATACTACTTTCTCAAAACAAATTACCTCTGCTTTAACTGTAATGGCTGTAATGTCTACATTAGATCTTTCTTTTGTTTAATAGGAGAAAATGGTACTGAACCTGTCTAAAACTAGAATTTTGGAAATGGACTTTGAGCTAAGGAAAACTGTGGAAAGTTTTTGTTAGCATAGGAAAACAAAGATAGAGTCCGAAATCAACTACAACAGCTTTCAGTCATAACTCTGTTATAAATCTGATCCCAGATTCTTCACACAAACGTAAAATGCTAATGGCTGCTTGTAAGATTCTCACTTCCTCCAAAGAGGAATGAATGTCCTGGAGATGTGTGAATATTTATTAAGAGGCTCTCCAGGAAGAAATTTGTTAGACATGGCCATCTAAAATTTAAGATAGAGAATTGCTTAGCAGCTAAAGACTCTGGGCAAGCGACTGATGTTGCTTATTCTGCTTGACTAGATTTGGATTACATTTAGCATCAGTAATTTAAAGAAGCCTCCAGAAAGTCTAAGCAACTTCTTAGCAGGTGCAGACAAGCCTATTTCTAATCAGAAATGTTGGAGCTTTGAACACTGAATGATTTGATATGATAATAATTTGGCTTTTTTATCTTTGTTTTTCATTCTGGGCTTGTTTTGGCGTTCATGCATCTCTGCTTCCTGGAAAATCTCCTACCTGGCAGCAATTTAGAGACTCAAGAGTATGTGTCAGGAGATACATGTCTCATATCTTCTTTTTAGGTGGAGCTGACAAAATTCTCAGAAGAATCCATAGAATTACTCCTTAATTGCTTTGAGCCATACTGTACTGATTATAGGTGTGTTTTTGGAAGATTTGGGTTATATGAAAGACAAAATGTACAAGGAAGGTGCATTCTTCTAGAAAAGTCCAGTTCAGCTTTTGGCTCCTACTTTCCTAAAGAAGCACAAGCTTCTAGTACTGTTTATTTTATTTACAAAGCTTAAACTTGTTGTGTGATAAGTTGTGGCACGAACCATTTTGAGCTGATTATTTGAGCTAAGTGTTGTAAATCTGTTTCTTTGCATTTGGGCACTTTAAGTGGTAATTTCTCTTTTCATAAAATTATCTTACTCTGATGGAAAGTGCAGCAGTTCTGATGCCATTCAAGCCTTTAAATAGGAAGGAACTCGGGTTAGAGCAGGCATTTTAAAGGGGATCAATATTGGCATTAATAGAGTAGCTGTATGAAGGTGATCTTTTCTGTATCCTTGTCT